TGTGTGTGTGTGTGTGTGTGTGTGTGTGTGTGTGTGTGTGTACGTACATGTAATAACATCCACAGGGAGGACTGTGGGACTCCAGGGGGTGATGTCATAGTGATTCATAACACACACACACTAATGACTCTTTTTCTCTGTCTCACACAACACACACTTTCCATCCCACATCTAATAAAACTTCTTTTGTTTGTGTAACAGTTTCGGTTTTTATTTTAAAAAGACAGGGGATTTGAAAGGTCATACATTTACATGACAAAGAATGACACACAGCAACAGCACATATAGAGATACTATAATAGGCAAACCCAGCACGTTCCTCACTTTGGTAAAGATGCTCTCTGTGATAGTTACAATTTAATAACAGAAGATTAGATATTACAGACAGACAGAAAGACTAACTGTTCCCCAGGAGTTACCCAGAAGGAACAGTGTGACATGCTAGGAAATATTACTATTCCCCATGACATTTTCTCCTCATCTAAAAGCAACTCAATGCTTTAATGATTTTAGTCCCACAGCAAAGATCATTGTGAACCATAATGACAGATAATAGGGCTCACCTGGAGAAAGACTTCTCCTTTAACTAAAGGTGCAACATCAAAATTTTTAAATTATGAATGGACTTCATCTTTAAGCACTTTTCCTCTTTGATCTTCAAAGCCCTGCATGCACCTCATTTATGATTTTCGTGATAGAGTTGCTAAACTTTGAAAGGCCTCCTAACCAGGAGGGGACTCCGAGGTTCAGTGCAAAGGCGCTTTCACATCTAAACCTAATATTTTCAATTACTTGTGCTGCAGAGTTGAACAAATTTTAACGTAAAAATGAGGCAGGCAGCCAGCAGCAGGCAGGTGAGGTGAAAAAAGGCTTTCTTGGAAACAGATTTACTTCTTGTATGCAGGTTGGATCACATAGCTAGTTGGGCAGTTTTCTGTTCTCTCAATTGCTCTACAGATCTTTACATTTGTATCTGTTTGAAGTTGTGTATATTTATCTGCTAAAATGTTTCCTATAATGAACTTTCACCTCTGTACCATAGTCGGGTCTTTATCTTACAAAATAAAAAGGGGAATTTGTTGTGATTTGGCGATATATGATAAAGCTGAACTGAACCTCTCCCACAGTTTTATGGTGTTTTACATGAGGTGGCACATTGATGTGCAAGAGGTAACTGATAGTTGTGTGAAGTCATATGTATGATCCCTGCAATCCATGTTTTCCATTGCAGGTTTTTGTTTAAATCTACATTGCGATGTTCTTCGCAGATACTTAATGCCCAAAGTGACAATGAAAACAGCTCGTGTTAACACTGGAAAATCTATCACAGGTAGAGGAATAAGCAGGTATAACAAACACAAATAGAAATGAAGTAGTCCTGAATAAACATAACGGGGTATTAAATAACCCCACTCAGACATTTTAGTTGCTAAAATAGCTCGGGCCCAGCCTTGCACAGTGAAAGCCCACAAGCCACTGGCTGACCCACTATCCCAAAATATGGCTTCTAATGACTGTAAAGCTGTCCTGTTTATATGCTGTGTGAGTGATAATGAATAACAAAGCGTAGGAATACAAAATTTAGGGAGTGTGTAAAAATATAATGCAATGTATGCTAACAAGGCCCAGCTAGGAAGTTTTATTGTTTATGTCAGCGTGTTATTAAATCTGTTTTTCAGCCTTCATCATATTTTGTAACAAGGCATGAAAAATAAGTGTTTATAATAACCTGCAGTTTAATATACCTGCTTGTTTTTAATGTAATACGTGTTAACAGACCTCTAACAGTTACTGGTTCAGTTTAGCAGGTACAATACTGGTGAAGAAATATTACACCATAAACTGTTTCTTAAACTGCAGTGTCATTCCAGCGGAGGGTGTTAAACTTGGACTGACTGATTGGGGTCAGTGGAAACAAACCAGTAATGATCGTGTTGCCTTCACAAAGAGTATATGGCAACCCTGACTGCAAGCATTTCCCTCACCGATGCAAAGGCTGGGCAGAAAAGGACAAGCAATAAGAATCTCAAAATGATGAACAGCTGCAAATTGATAAAGACATTTGAAGCAATATAAAAACATTTAGTTGTGTTTTTAGCCTTGTTGGAAATATTTGGTGATTTAGCTGCTAAGTGTGTCTGTTTGTCTGCTGTAGCTGGTGCTGCTAAGGTCACATTGAGTGGATTTTAAGAGCATTTTCTCAGCTTGAGTAAGGGTGAACCAAAACTGTAAAGCTGTGAGCTCGAAAGAGTAAAACCAGCGAGGTGAAATATTAAGAGTTGCTTGAATATTCTCTGGATTCTCTTCTGGGTTTGCCACTGGGTTCAATCTCTATCACATACAAATAGTCAAGCAATAAATTCTTAATAGGAAAATAGTGATGAAAGCTGATTTAAGTCAACTCTGTATGAACTAAGACAGCATTGGACTTTGTGGGGTGTGAGTGGATGCTGGTGTGGGTAAAACAGCTTCACTGTTGGCTAACTGAGGGTTATACAGGATTCCTAATGACTTTCTGTTCCTTTAAACCACAAAAACAGAAGAGAAATACAGTCGACATGGCTTTCTGCATCTATTAGGCTGACTCCAACTGTACGGCTGCTTCGGAATAATTATAATCACAGTTTTAGCAACGCTTTCTTCATATATTGTGAGGCTTTGTGAGCATTTTAATCGCATGAGGCTTAAAAAACAGCTTAAAGAAAATAGCAGTCCCACACACATTTTATTCAGGGGATAAGCCAAGGGGTGGCAGGAGATGGCTGCTGTAGACTAGCCCTGTGGCCACCCCACATAACCAATAATGACACCTATTAAAGGGCTATGTACAAACATACTCATACATTCTCTGACCTGCAGTGATTTTCCATGCAGGAAAAATAAAAATCCATATGACGATGGATGTAATGGTCTTAGCTTGGCCACCCCTTTAAAATGTTCTGGCTACACCACTGACTCCAGCACCAAATAACTGTGTACCGTTATACTCCAGCATGTTATTTCTTTCTTTACATTAAAGCATTGTTTATTTATATGGCTTCAATACAAGTGGTCTATGCATAGTGTGTATATTAAAACATATATCAAAAGTCCTTCAAAAGATTACAAACCTGGGCACTTTTAAAAAATCTCTGTATGTCAAAATCTCCATCGTCTTGTGCTGACACACTTCTTTGGCTAACAGCTACTTCATGTGGACTTTTACAGCACTGATTTTGTGTTTTAGACGTTTATATATTTACTCAGGCTGTCATGTGGTATTTGATATAACAAAGATCTTTCACATTCAGGTAACTACACCACCTCCACGTAGTTGGCTGGGTAAAGCCCCTCCCACCCATCATCCTTCTTCCCTCGACACCATCCTTGGTCATCCTCATCCTCGATCTTTAGAAACTCTTCACCTGGAGGGAGGAAGAGAAAATTTTTTAAAACTATTGCAACATTTTTTTAAACATCTATTCAATTCAATTCAATATTATTTATATATAACAGTCACCTCAAGGTGCTTTATATTGTAAGGTAGACCCTACAATAACACATACAGAGGAAAAACCCAAAAATCATATGACCCCCTATGAGCACTTTGGCGACAGTGGGAAGGAAAAACTCCTTTTTAACAGGAAGAAACCTCTGGCAGAACCAGGCTCAGGGAGGGGCGGCCGTCTTCTGCAAACAGTTGGGGTGAGCGAAGCCTTATAACCCTTATTTGTTTTGTCAGGCCAGCAACCATAAAAAAAGAGCCTATAACAGTTTAAACGTATATTTTATTTAACTGTAAAATCAATGATTCAAACCATTCTGCTTAGTAATTTCATGTAATAATAGTCGTAGTACATTTGAAATAAAGCTGCTTTCAGCAAGTAAGGCACCAAAGTGCAGTTTCTCTAACGGCCACTTGAGGCAGCCTTCAAAAGCTAATACCCAAAGATTCACCGATAAAGTTGCCATCGATACATAAATATGTTTCTAGCTTTATTTTCAAGCTGATATACTAAAGTCCAGAGAAGTCAAGATGGGTAAATAAGGGCAACTAATCAAAATGTACAAAAGCTATCAAATAATCTGGGAAAACTTAAAGAGTAACAAAAAAAAAAAAAAAAAAGAGGAAGACCCTTGGGATTGAGACACAGATGAAAAGAATCACTAAAGGAAAAAGTAAAAATAATGCAAGGCGTGAAAGGAACACAGCCTTCAACATATAAAAAGAAAACAACCAAAAGACACACTAAAATCAGACCAGACCTGAAAAATGTGGTGCAGACACTAACAGAAAGATGAGATAGAGGAAGGAACTGCGAAGTATAACTGCAACGAATAGCAACCAAGACATGAAACAAAACAATGCTGAAACTCATTACCAGAATGATCGTGAACTAGAAACAGGAACCAAATAAGGCGCACTAGGATAATAAAGATGTGAAACAGGAACCCAACAATAATCAAAAACTGTGAGAAAAAGAATCTAAAAACTTAAAATCAACTTAAAACACTGAGACCAAAATACGTTGGCACTGCTGGTCTCTGTATATTTCATATACTTTTGTATACTTGGATTGTTAACGGTTATTTTTTAATGTACAGTACAAATGAATGGCTTGACTCGACATTGATGTAGCAATGTGGCCTCTTTGAATGACAGCTTCAGGTCACTGAGAAAAGCTTTTCTGCTGTTGACCATATAGGATGCAAAAACCTAACAAAGAGGGTCAGTTCTGACTGGCTACCCCACTGGAATTGAAAGTTTGCAAGCCAATGAGTGTGCGGTTTCATACAACAGCTAATCCTCCACTTTGAAATATGGTATGGACTTAATTTTGTATTCAGTGTGAGCCAGAATGTGTGACTGAGCCCATACACTAGGCAGGAAAGTATTTATGTGAGCCCTGCGCCCTCTCCTCCAAATATGGTCCACATTCTGGCTCCAAAAACATGACTGCAGCCTTAAAGCCAAAGCTGAGGCTTCAAAATATGAATATACAGAGACGCGGCTGAGTTCACAGTGACGTCATTCATCTTGCAGTGTTTACCTGCTTTAAAGGACAGCTCATCTGTCTCCTGGCCGACGTAATCATACAGAGCTCTTACTTTCACTCCCCCGATCATCACGCTGTCAGTGGAAAAAAGAGAAGAAAGAGATTAATCTTTGATTGCTTCAAAAAAAAGCTAGACAACATTAACAGTTCCCGTTCGGAATAATATCTTCACCTCTTCTCTATTGTTCCTGATTTTTCCACTTCTTTTTTCCCTTTTTTGCTTTTCTTTTCAGGTGTCCATTCCTGAAAAAAAATTGGAATATAAGTAACATAAATAAAGTGCACAGAGTTAAACTTAAAATGCTGGAAAATAAAGGGAAATACCTGGAAGTGAGGCCAGTCAGTTGGCATGCCCGGGCCGTGGGTGTTTTTCCACCAGCGAAGGTCCTCTTGCTCATCGATGGCCATCAGTGTGTTGTGGAGCTCATTGTACACGGCCCGCACACTAAATGCCGAGAGATAAACACAAAAAACTCAAATTTGATTTTAATCTATGCTGATCCGTTCCTAAAATTTTGCTGGAAGAGATCATCTCTCCTCCAATAATCCTACTTATCAAAAACAGTCGTGCTGTCTCGTGTGAATTTTGGATATTTTCCACAGCTCTTCTCTCACATTTAGCTTCAGAGAGGTTCACACTGCTGGAAATACCCTGTGTCCTTTAGGTATAGTATGCCTCATAGTACTTAATAAACACCATGCTATAAGAAACCCAATGATCTGGAATATATGTTACAAATTTTATGTGTACTCTGGATACTGATGATTATATAATTAAAAACATACTTAATTCACTTACACTGCAATCCGGGACACTTTAAGTTAAGTGTTCCCCCCAAATTAAGCAGATTAATAGTGTATATAATTTCTCTCCTCTCCCTGTGGCTTTGGCTCATTTTTATAAAGTAATTAAGTTGCCATCGTATCCAGTATTTCCTTTATCAGAGTAGAAGAGAGTCGGTGATGTGCTAATATGTAGTGGTATAGCTTTTAATTAGAGGTAAATTAAGTCAAATTATTGATTTCAACATACTTAACTCTAAAGACAGCCCGACACAAGCTGCAGGGTTCACACATAAGACGAATCTGTGCTACTTGTTTAATCAAATGCATCAATCCTCTAATCAGCAGCGGCAGCAGCACCTTTTCTCAACACCGCACACGTACAAAGCACCGTGCTTCACCTCTCATTGTTGGTAATGTCCAGGTGTTTGTGGATGGAGAGGAAAGCCTGTTTGAGAAATACAATCCTCTTGCGCTCCTCCTCCTGTGATTGGTCAAAGACGGACTCCATCTCCTCCATGTAGCGAGGAGCATAGTTGTTCACCTCCTCCAGGACCTTCTCGTAGCGGGCACGGACCTGAAAGTATTTCAAACCAAATTGGCAAATAAAACTTGAGCGGTGGAAATCTAACTGTCAAAAAAGCAAAACAAAAATTGTATTAAATGTGTGTCGAATGTCTTACACAAAACATTTCATCCCACTAAAAACATGCGAAACAAAGAACTTCAACAACAGTCTTCTAAGAAAAAACTTTGATAAACTGAAGCTAGCTCGCCAAGATAAACAAAACCATTTCAAAATGATTTCACCAGGTTCAGTCAGGTGATTAACTGATATAAAAATATTAACAAAGCAAAAAATTGCAACATTTAACCTCCCATAGACTATGCAGTCACAACTGGTAATGAATTTTAACTTGATATAACGCTTCACCCCAGTGCTGACATCACAGGTTTCCTGTGAAGTAGACATTATTACAGTACAACAGCAGAAACCACGTCATAAACTTGTGAGAGGATATGAAGATGACTGATTTAAACCACACGAAACATTTCCAGCACTCTTGCACTCCTTGGTCGCTCCACTCTGTCCCGTTTGTATAATTTGACTGTTTTCTGCGCTACTCTGGAGACTAACTATGCTGCTGATTGGTGCTGGCACCTGTCCGTCATCCTGCCTTCCGCAATTGTTTGCTCCTTCTGTGTTTTACCTGCTGCCACTTTGATTCATCTGGCGCCATACTCCAACCGCAGCGGGGCTAATTATTGCAGCTGCTTTAAAAGGGGCTGTCAGGCCAGGGAGCAGTCTTTTCCATGTTTGGAATGGTTACTTGTACTTTGGTCACGTAATTTATAGTGAAGGGTTTACGCCTGCTAGGTTCTGATTCATCAACTTGCTTGTTTTGCTCTCCACTTGGGGGATTTGTAAATTAGGAAAGGTAACAGTACTTCTACTTATTGTTCACTACACAGTTAGATTCCTTTTATTAGAGATACTAGTAATAAGGGTCTTTCTTTTCTCCCTAACGTTTGCTTTGGACAGGCTAGTAAGACGTGTAATTAATTTCTTTGCTTTTGATAACTAGAATACAGATATTACATACTTAGCATGTGGAGTTGCATCCACATGCCCTCTGATTTATTAGTTTAAAACCATAAAGGAACACAATAACCTACTTAACAGTCACTAAACCTTTTCCCTGTGGTTTATTAATGTCACTCCCCTTTCTCTTGGTAAACCAGGATTGTAACAGGCACCCTTCCACCGAGCATCAGTGGTAAGGTACGGATCTACTCAGATTCCAAAGTGAGATTCCTTAACTCATCATTCATGCTTCACCTGTTTTAATTAATTAATAATTATGCAATAGTATTTTTTTTTATGCTCCGTGGCCAGAAACTCCACAGTGCACGTAAGACAAAACTTACAGAAAGTTTAAGAAAAGAAAATTAAAAAACTAAGAAAAAAAATAAGAAAGTAGTGACATGTGGTGTGCACCTTCTCGGCCTCCTGTTGAGCCACTTCTCTCTCCTCCTGGATCTTCTTCTGTTTGTCTATGGAGACGTCCGGGTTTCCCTGAGCGTGTGCCTCTCGCTCTCTGGCTACCTGCTCTTTACGGCTCACTTTATGGTATGCTCTTCTTGCTTTATCCAGCTGTGGATGCAAACCAAAGCACAGACTGACTATATGGAGTCAATGCACAATAGATAGGGATAGAAATACACCGATTACACTAACACCAGGAATCATACAATTCACTTACAGGCACTTCAGAGGCACTTAAGCTAAGATGCACCTGACTCTGAAAAGCACATTACTGAATAAATTCATTTTGAAATAGCAGTGCATTAGCTTCCTGTTTTCTAAATATAGTATTTGAATTGAGGCCATTTACTTAATGAGAAACCATCTGCGATGCCACAGTCACTTCTAGTATATATGAAAAATTGATCCCCTAAGGGCTCGTCTTTTGAGGCAAAATTATATTTTTGATGCATGTCCCTTGCTGCTCTCATTTCACTGTAAGGTACAGATTCAAGTGGCTCATTGCATCAGAACACAAACACTCTTGAGAACTGGGTTTCTGGCACTGGCACAAAATAAGGCTTGGGAATGTCACAGAGAAAAGGCTCCCAGAAGCGAACATTAAAATGTCATGATGACCAGAGCTGTCTGGAGTGGAGCTGTGAAGCCATGGACTGTATATAAAAGATGTATTGATGCCCTCTAGTGGTTACAGAGACTTTACATGGACTCCACTAGCACTAAGTTAGACTCCAGAGTAAACCTCCAGAGAAGCTAAGCAAAATGAAGTTAAGCAGGAAGTAGCAAAAACTGTAGTTCCTCTGGTGACCACTTGAGGCTGGCTTCACGAGAGTGAGTGAATCTCCACAGACTTCCATGTTAAAATGTTCAACTAGTGTGTGTTGCACCTGGGTAGTTTATCAGTTTATGAATGCAACTTGCGAACCAAACATGCTAGCATTCACTGATTACTTAGCATCCTTTTACTCATATAAAGTGCAACAACAACATGGCAGCTGACATTATGGCTTCAAAATGCAGAGTTCAAAACCAATGTGTAATCTCAAGATGGCTACATCCTCATTTTATATATTATCAACAGTTACACTGCTAATAAAACATGTGCGTAGCCTCTCAGGTCTGATAAATGAAGCTAATGTGGTTGCTAAATCTTTAGAAATCTAAAACAAAAACACATGACTTCAACCTCTCTGATCACTTTGGGGTTTTAACCACTAGAAAAACTAACAAAAAAATTATTAGCTACGTTTTTCTTTAGGAACAGGTATATTGCTGCTGGAGCGCGAGAACTACACTCCACTTTTATCTCTCAAAATCAGGAAGGAAAATATTGCATCGGTGAAGCTTATTTCATTAAAGATTTCATTAAATGAGAAATAATTTCAAAATGGTAAATGGACTGGTTCTTATATAGCGCTTTTCTACTCTTCTGAGCACTCAAAGCGCTTTACACAACTTGTGCATTCACCCATTCACACCAGCACATTTTTCTAGATGCTTTCTAAGTAACATTCATACACATTCGCACTCCGATGGATGCTTCAGAGAGCAACGTGGGGTTAGTATCTTGCCCAAGGATATTTGGCATGCAGACAAGGAGCAGCCTACGATCGAACCACCGACCTTCTGGTTAGTGGCTGATCGGCTCTGCCACCTGAGCTACAGCCAAATGGTCAAAATGTTGATTAAGTAAAAATGTGAGTGAGTGAGTAAGATGGTAGCGGTCTTCAAAAGCCTCCAGGCTGCAAGTTTATTGTTAATTTACATATCAGTAAATACAAATTCTTTATTTTTTAAGACTGAATTTGGGAAGAGCTTAATTAAATGTAAAATAATACTGTACGTTTTGAAACTGCTTCTAAAACAAAGTGCTCAAAGAGGCAAAAAGCATGTGTGCAGAAAAAAGAAAAATAAGAACATATTGTTCAAAGATTATCCCAATCAAAGCAGTGTGACAAATAACAGCTGCCACAAGCGCCAAGACAAACTGTACTTTAGTGGCTGCCTCAGTATGTAATTTATTGCTTCACAACATACTAAACTAACTTTAATGTGGCATTTTATATCTTTGTACACAGCTCAGTGACTGAGATCAGACAAAAGCTTTTAATTAATATGACGATGTGTAACTACCATAAACAAATCTGGAAAAAAATCTGACCTTTTTAAGTCGTTTGGCCCACGGCTTCTGAGCACGTGCAAACCCCGTCTCAATGTCGTGGGACTCCTTGAAACCCCCAAATAACTTCTTGTGGAAGGTGTCCTTCTGCCAGGTCCTGACCCGGTCCCCATCTTCCGACACCAGGGAGCGACAGATGGTGGCGTGTAGGGCGGCAAGCCTGTCGGCGGAGGACAGAAAACACTGCCAAGCCTTCATAAGAGAGCCATATAGAGGACCTGAGGGAGGGAGGAGGAGAAGAAGATGACACACCATTAAAATTACTGTTGTATTTCAGTAATAATTGGGACATGATTTTGAAATAAGATCATTTCCACGTTCATCATATGTGTTGCGGTTACTGATCTTACTAGAGTCCACCACCGGCTTCCACTTGTTGCTCCATTCACTGAGCTGCTGGGCGTACTGCCTCTCCACGCGCGCTCTCTCTTGGAAACATGCCACTATGTCATTACAGGCCTGGAAAGCATCTTCTGTTCGCTTCGCAGTGCGCTGATAGTTCCCAGGCTGCCAGGACACAAAGAGAGAGGAAGATTTGCTTTCCACATCATAAACACATGAAGTGGATGGAAGTTTAAATTGATTTGATGCTTTAAAGTCTAAAGTTTTTTAATTTTTTGGCTTTAAAAAGTTAGAAGTTAACAAAAAATGTTCCAGTGTTCAGTGATTCAGTTTCTTTTATTTCAGTGCCAGAGAATCCAAAACGGTACATTTGTTCAGTGTATTCTTGGAAATATGGAGACCCAAAACTGAATAACACAAACAAAAAGATTACTCCAACTGGTATTACAAGCACACTACTGTTGCGTGTTACTACTACTGCTTCTAATTTGTAATATTAGTAACATATTAAAAATAGACTAATATTATAAGTAGAAATATTAGGGCAAATATCCACTGCCTGAAGCTTCGTTTTTTATAGTAACTCAGTTTTGTTGTTTAGATTACTCAAAGCAGACCTATTATGGTCATTTCCAGCGCCATGTTTTTAATCTCGGGCTCTACTAGAGTAGCTTAGTATGGGTCACAGTTTAAAATAATCCTTATTTAACCTATGATGGATCTTGGTGCAGACCCTCAGTTAATCTTGTGTCCACCCCCTTTCCTTTAACCTAGCCGTCTTCTGATTGGCTGCCCCTCGTAAACAGAAGGTTTGAACAGCAAGTCATTTTGTCCTCAAGAAAAGGGAATTCAAATCTTCGTCTAAATTGTAAATAAATTTGCCACATATTTTAAGGGTAACTGTTTAACTACATTTAGTACAGTTTAAACCCTCAAACCCTTGAATGGAGCCGTGGATCCTGCATGTTCAAACCTTACTGCACACTACTAACATATCAGAAGCAATTTTCCTGGCAACAACTAATAATCTATACTCAAAATGAGATTTGATTGCAATACTGTGGAAGCTCATTGAGAGAGAGGTGAGAAGATTGAGCCCTCTCTTAACTGTTCCCTTAATATATGACTGCTCTCAGGAACTGCAAACAAAGCTTGGCTTTGTTTAAAGCCTGGCTTTAAACAAAGCCTCCAAAACATCTAAAGCTCATCTAAAGCTCACTAATTACATTTTGTGTTTAAAACAATGATTTGTTTTAATGGTTTTGTGCCAGAATATTTGTTAGCCAGAAACTGTAACTTTCTGGAGGTTTGCTGTCAGTTGCTTCAGCTTTCTGCAATGCTAAGCAGACTCCAGCTGCACACATTCACTCTACATATGTATAGTAAATATATATAGTATTGATTTCATTTAGTTAGACTTTTACATGGATGTGTTTCTCTAAATGATCCTCTAAATCATTGTCATAATGACGTCTTACTAAGTTCCACTGAATAATGCACAGTACCACAGCTAAATGAAATACACCCATTACCGTCTTCCTGTTAATCGTGTTGTGCAGACGTTGGCTGCAGTTAAATCTGGGGTACAGCAGAGGGTGCTACCAAGGATAAGAGTGAATTGAGCTAAACAGCTAAAATAATTATTTCCACATGCTTCTTAATAAAATACCAACATGAAAAGAAAACTGAATTTTATTTTACTTTTCACAAATAATGTATGGAAAACTGTCTGACCAGATGATGACTGCTACGTGAGACTCTTGCTGCTGTTTAATGCATGAAATCAAAATGTTGGATTCAGTAAGTGAAAGCATCCCCTATAAAACTGAAAGTCCACATAAGCGTGATTTCTTGAATGTTTAGTATTCCTTTGTTTTGTAGTACAAAAGACAAATATTAGGTAGAAATGCTACCTTTCCATCATAGTCCTTCCATAGCTGTGACGCTGCAGCAGCAATGTAAGGCTAATCCTCCCACGTGCCACGAGTGACACTTCACTGGCACGGAGTTTCCGCTGGTAGCACAAATGCCGGCCACAGTGTGAGGCGCGGTCGAAGCCCGTCCATAAAAAGCCAGACAGAGTGAGGACAAGAGAGCAGCAGAGGCAGGGCCCTAAATGTAATAACATCTCTGAAGCAAGTGTGTTGTTTGTGGATGTGGAATTTGGAAATCTCTGCAATTTTCCTGGCAGCTGTCATCAGCTCCTTCTCAGCACTGACTCCTACTCTCTTTTTCACTTTCTGTCAGACTCTATCTGGTTGTCACTGACACATTTAGACAGCTGCTTCAGTGTGATTGTTCGCCATGCTGTTTTAAATTACTTGAGGCAATATAGTTGATGTAAATACCACAAAAAAAAAAAGACATGAGTGAACAAGACGTCCCTAAATCCAATGTTTTACCTGTCAAACACACATGTAACTAATAACCTCAATATTGGGGCTCTGGTTACGGGTTTTGTACGTGTTGGCTCACAGACATGGCTTACTTGGATAGCTCCAAGAGACTATAGTAAAACTATCTGCGTGCTTTCAGTGCGTCATATACTTTTGGATACTGTAACACAGAATACGCTTCTTTACTTATTTTCTTTGGCAAATTCAGTGTAAGATGATAAGCCTCCAGAGTTACAACAACAGCCTTTGCTTCCAATGTCCAAAGTCTGTAATGGGACTCTTAATTAGTAGTTAATTAAATGCAGGGACAACAGAAAGGTCAGTTGTTGTTTGTGAAAAGTAGTGCTAGCAGCAAACATTAAACAAATATGCAGTTTTGTGCTTCAGGTAACTAAAGCAATCAACCGATGCAGGGCATCTTTATTATAATGTGACATTTTTCTTAACTCATATTTTCTCTTTTTCATTCTAATTGCAAATGATTTGTTTACTAATCCTGCATTTTAATGTTTCTGTTCAAGCGTAGTTTAGTGTGCTTCAAAGAGTGCTGCACGTAGAAGGACAAAGACCCTGAATGTAAAAGTTTTTCATTGTCTGTATTAACACCCTTCAAAAAAAGCAATCAGAGCCCTCAGTGTGCCTTTAATGAAACACTGTAGTTTTAAATGCTTTAATCACGAGGAGTGTTTCACACAAGCGCCCTCCTCCTTCCTCCTCTATCCTTCCTTTCTTTTCCCCTCTGTTGTGGTTTGCACTGACTTTCCTCACTCGTCTGCGAATTAAGCAGAAACAGCTGAGGAATCCAGTTTGAGGCCAGCGGCAACGCTGCAGAGACCCAGTTGGCCAATAACCGAGGCAGATGCAAATCCGCTACTAGAGAATCAGTCCAAGCAACAAAAGCGGTATCGAAGGAAATGACTAAAGACTTCTGCTGAAAAAAAATTACCTCTCATATAAATAAATGATCGCATTCAAACTGTTAAAAGCCTGGCGAGTTTTCATTATAGAACTGCATTAGTGTTAAATGTAGATGAATGGATGGGATGATGAAATTGACGTCTTCCAGATTTTATGTTTCACAACCTGCATATGTGTGTCAAGTTAAAGTATTAGCTGGTAGTAGTGTAGCAGTACCACAGTAGACGCTGCTCTGATGCTTCGTAGCTGTGATAAAGTTTTAAAGTAAATGTATAATAAGTAAAAGGTAGTGAAAGCAATGGCAGTAAAAGTATTAATAAAAGATGAAATGGCATAAAAGAAACATTTCCAGACTATACTCCAAAGTGACTTTACCGCAACTCAAGCAAAGAGCAGATGACAGATTCAGGGAAAGCGAGTCAAAAATGTTTGTTCTAGAAAGGAAAAGAAAGTCTGTTACAAATCAAACTCTTAAATCTTTAGTTTTCTACTTGAAAACAAGTGAAAATGTGTTTGAAATATGTGATAATCGCATTTTTACTTTAGTAGCAGACATGCAGTTGTCACAGAATGCCCTTATTTAATATAACAAAGCATGTAATAGCATATATAATCCCTTTATATAACTGTGGCATTAATGTTTTAAAAGGGACATGCACTGGGTCCAGAGACTGTTATCACTATGTATAAAGTTGAGGTGACTTTGCCAATGCAAAACCGAAAAGCTGAAGTTTGCAGTATAATGACAGGCAGGCAGCCTTTGAGCACGGCGGCAGGATGACACAGACGGGAACTGGCCTGGAAACACATCCAGCACAACAGGAGGCTTCTAAATTACAGGAGGGGAGAGATGAAAGTGGGGCAGCCAATCGAGGCCAATAGCAGACAAAGCCAATATTAAAGCGGCAGCACACTCAAATTAGACAGTCAGGCACTCTGAAGTGTTTACAGCCTTAAAATATGGTGGCAAAACTGGGCTATGACTGGTAAACAGAGTGTACGGTAGTTCACAGAGATGGGTATATGGCCGATATGCTGTGTGTACATTTAGGCTTCGGTGAGAGAGATAATGCTTAGGATTTATCTTTTATGTTTGTGGAAACAGGTCTGTTCTACAGACTGTTTATTTTTCTCATTCTGTCTACGTTGGTGCTGTGAAATAAAAGCCACTTTTGTATTGTATATAAAAATGCAGCAGAAGGTCTAAACTTGATCCCTATTTTCCTTTTTGTGCTGCAGATTTTATTCTGTACCTCTCTGATGTCTCTGTTTAGTGTGAAGCTGCAGCCTGTTAAATGAGCTCGGCACTTAGCCTGCAGCCTCGTTATCACTGCACCAGGTAAAGAAACGATCTGGGACTGGGACACATCCATCATTAATATATCAGCGTGTCCTAAGCGTACTGTTGTTTTCTTATGGATTAAATAAACATGTTAATTAGCGACATCTGGAGATGCTAGTGGAATAAGTGTAACAATGTAATATAACCAAGAACTTTTTAGACTTCTTGATACAGTTTGCACTGAATGGATCCCGATGGACGTGTAGCCCATTTTGGAGAGGAGGTTTTGAAATAGAAAACATAGTTACATTTTTAGATGATTTTTTAACTTAATATCTTTCTTTCTTGAGATTTCATTTTGACAGTTTTGCAGGGAAGCGTAGAAAGGAAAGAGGAGGAGAGAGAGTGGACTCAAACTCAGGCTTCTGCACTTCAGACATAAGGTAGAGACACCTGCTTAACTGAACCAGCCAAACCAGAACCCTAAGTAAGGCCTTTCTGTCAGTACTGGGAACACTGAAGCACCATGAGATACTTTACAGCACTCGTCAATTTATATTTATTCATCAAGCAGCAGCAGACCCCCTGATAGCAGTCACCTTCAATCACCACAGCCAGCTGCTTTGTGTATACATGTGGAAGTTTCTGTTATGGCTTGACTTCTAACATCTGTTTTAGTTGTCATTTGGAAATGTGTGCTTAAGAAAGTGTGTCACGTCCAAAGACAGAAAAAAAATGGAGAAAGCTTCAAGGTCTGAAAAGTGAAGCCAGCTTGAAAGTGCGTAAACCTGATTTCTTTTTTCATGTGCACCAGGGGGTGATACCTGTGGCTGCAGAAAGACCTCGTGTCCCATATAATTCAATAGTAAGACAGTCCTCGGAGCTGATCTCTGTAAACACTTTTCTGATAAGTTTATGGGCTCAGTCAGCGATTTCAGCCCGTACTGAATAAAACATTAAATCCATTTTGTTTTAGAAAGGAGGATAATCCAGGATACGCTTGTCTCATCTTTGAGGTCCTGATGTAAATTCTTCACAAACAAATTAAGATGTATTAGCAGAATGCAAGCATTTCAGGTTTCTTTTTTTTTCTCTACAAGGAGCTGCATAGAATTATTTCAGCTGTATTTTCATTTGCTACATACGGGCTGTCACTGCTGCTCCTGAGACTGAATTTCGGCCAGTTATGTTCCACAATGGGATCAACAGGAAGTGAAATGGCTCCCATAGTTCTAAGGCTAGCTGGTGGCAAGATATTAAGTATATATATCAAACTATTCTGTTAAGTCTCATGCAAAAAAAAAAAGAGCACAAAAAAACAAAGAAAATAACTTTCTGTGAAAGCATTAAGTTTTTATAGGAAAAAACATTTTTTATTTGGTCCCCAGACTCAGTCCAGACAAACACATAGAATAAGTCAATGAGCCAAAAGCCTTCAGCGAGAGCTGTGTTAAATCCTTGCGAGGCGGTTCGGAGAGTAACTATTCATACTTAAAAATGAAAACACAGCCTTGTTTAAAAAGTCGTGTTGCCTGAACGACAAAACTCTGGACTGTTTTGGCTGCATGTTCGCTCAGACTTGAGATACGGGGGGGAGCTATCTTGTGTAGTATATCTCCCTGTCCCATCATAAGGTATAAACATGTAAACACACAAAGCCAGAGCCCCGCACACACACAGAGTACACATACCATCCAGAAGCTGCGATTGTAGGCATCTTCAAGGCTGTTTTCTGATGGCAAGGTCGACATCCTGTTTTCTGAGAAAGTAAAGAATATCTGATTAGTTTGGACTATATTTTCTATCATGCTGCCTTTCACTATGATCTTTAGGTAGCTGCCATTATCACCTTTCATTTATTGGCTTTAGATTGTTGCAGCTTCAGTATTTGGCACAAATGTTTGAAATAAGGGACACGTTTAGCCAAAATTATTTTCAGGTACAAAATGTAGATACTTCATAAAATTTAATACTTGAGTTCTTGTTTTATCAAACATGCCCCACAGACCTGACATCACTGACACCTCTTATGTTATAATGGTTACATGATAAACTAATGGATAAAACAGGGATTTTACTTTTATAAATTTAAGCTGCAAATATTAATTTAAGCTAATTACCAGTCCACTCTGTTATTTTAAATGTAGTTATTTTTACATATTCACTGTTTTCAAGTCTTTATCTTTTACTTTTATGTATCTATTTAACAATTTCCTTGGTTACTTTTGATGGACTGTTTCTCTGTCTACTGCATTTAGCTATCCCTTTCTCCTTGTTGTGTTTTTCAGTGCTCTTAGTGATAGCTCAGTGGGTGGAGATAACTCTAAATTAAATCAGCCCTTTTATATAATAATGTATTTGATCAAATTACCACTTCCCATAAATCCCTTGGCACCAACATGATTCACCACTGGCACAAGTGCTCCGGGTTGGAAATCAATTCTCTCCTGCTATTTTAGGCTCCATGACATGAAGGCATTTCATATCTGTTCAGATAAATAACTAGTTCAACACATGTCAGGACCCATGTGAGACTATACAGCAGGTGTAACACAGTGACTGAATCAAATATGGAGGCTTTGTACGCCCATCTAAGCGTTGGAAGTTGACGTGCACGTTAAATAGGACCGGGATAGTGCAGAAGCTCTGACAACACCAGCAGACATGGACTGTCCTCTCCCAGCATTCCCAGCTTCTGAAACATGAGCTATCCGAAAATAAACAGGGGCTAAGGGTCGGCACATCCTATCACACACTCATTTTCTTCCCATGCTGGTCGCGCTTTGCTCATTTAATATTGACCCATAAACATCACACTTTCTTTGAACGTAATCATGCTCTTAGCTGAGTGTTACTTTATGTTCATGTGGTTCTACCTCAAAAAAAAGAGAAAGTTTTCCAGTTAAATATTTAAGCACACAGCAGCTTTGCTTCAAATCCTCGAAGCACCCAAAAGCTGAACTCCACCCTGACAGAGCCTTCGTGACTGGCCTGTTTTTCCTGCCTGCAGACATCTCCCCTCATGGCTCCGTTATGCTCACAATTAGATTCAATGATCTTCCCTCAACATCCTGCTGTTCACAGGGCATCACATGCTCCGCTAAGAGAATAATGTCCTGCCTCTTCCTGGCCTCAATCTGCCTCAGTTTGCTTCATCATCACCACTGAGGACTTGTAAATTACGCAACCCAGATATCTGCAAGAGGTCATGAAAATAAAGAATACCCTCTCTTTTAACCCGTTTGACCCTGACTTCCTGTCCCTCTTGCTTTCTGGCTTTCCTCATTGTATGACCAAGTTTCCAGATAAAATGTGGGAGTGGGGTAGCTCCCGTCATGATATTAATTAATGTGACTGCACGGTTTACTACAAACGGTATACTTTTTACTACGTTTTAGAGTTGCAACCACACTACTTGTGTCTGTGTAATAGCAGATTTATGTATAAATCCCTTATAAGCTGGTAGGAAAGTAAAATCTTTAACCTCCATTCTGGGTTAGCTGTGACTGACTTGTATGCCTCTCCTCAGGTTTATCAGCCTTATGCTTCAGTTTATGTGTTAAAAAAAAAAGAAAGAAAAGTATGCCATGCAACTCTGTATCTACTGGGAATGTTTTGTTAGTGACATACGCCTTTCAACAGTGATTTCATAACTCCTTAAATCGATTTTGAGATCCTCTAAAAATGTGGGACTGGCCTAAAGATTTAAAAACCTCCAGAAATATTTATATAAAGATGAAATAAAGTGATCCCTAGTGTCATTTCCAGTTAGCTCACTGTGACGTCTGTGGTATTAGTGAGGCATACCCCATTACTTCTTACTTTCTGACTTTAAATAAGCCACAAACTATGCATCACGTGGTTGCTTTTTCACACAAAAAATATACTACTACTTACCGCCTACAAGCACAGATCTATATCCACCATGAATCCTCCAGACTTTGTATAATATATGTGCATGTCAGATATAAAATTAGCTCCCCCCGATTCTAAAAGGTTCACGATTGATTATCAGTATCTTGCATTAACTCAGACTTCATGGATCTAAAACTCCAACTTCTTCACTTGAAAACCCAACCAGCTGAACCCAGAGCCCGTTCAAGTCCATCTGGAGCTTTGATCCAACCAAACTCTCTCACCCCTGTATGCTGAACGCACTTTTGCACACACACTCACTCCTCCCTCTGTCCCCGTTTCATCTGTCACGCATAACTCAACACACACGCATTGCATAGAGGAAATATATAGCAACAACTGAACACAGAGCAGAAATAGGAGCGCCGTCACTCCATCTGATCTCACTGAAATGCATCCATTCAGCCATGGCAGGCTAATAGTTTCCTTACCTCTGAACGCTGGGGCCCCTCTCTCATTCACCCCCTGCTCTCTTCTTTTGTTTGCCTAGTTAAAACAGTTTTTTTCTTCCCGTCTCCAGTCTGTGTGGAGTCTCTCAGGCTCTTTCCCTCTCTGTCTAGTCTTCTTTATGCTCTTCCTCACTCTCTCCAACTTTGATTTTTCCACCCCTGTTGGACAGTGTTGCTCCTGCTCTTCCCCTTTCTTTGGCCCACTGTTTGTGTCAGATGAGTTGGCTTTTTTTCCCCCTCCCTTCCTCCTTCTCCTCTTGCCTCCCTCCCTCAACGTCTCTCACTCTCTCTCTCCTCCTCTCTCAGTAAAACAGCTGCAGGAAGCGTATTCCTCTTGTTCTTTGTCAAATATCTACCTTGTCTTTTTCCCTTTCATTTGGTCACTTTACCTCCCTCACACCACTGTTAATGAAGTGTGGCAGAACATTGGTTTGGGGTGTTTCTTTGTGTCTGTGTGTGTGCATCTCTAAGTGAGTCAGACAATAGCTGAGTCACCCAACCAAAGTTTATGTTTGGCATGTGTGTTTGGGAGTTAATAACCCTAGTAACCACCTTTTAGAGTTTTAAAAAGAAATACAAAGCAGCATGGCCAGATAAGGAAACTCCATCTCTCTGCGCTTGCCTTTAACCCCCTTTTTGCTCCCCACTATTTTCCCTTGGGATCATTTGGTAGGCCTGCTTCCACAGCTGGAGGATACATCCGGTGTGTGAGTGTGCATATGTGCATGTTTATGTGTTAAAGGCAGAGCTGTTTGAGTGCAAAGCCCTCTAAAGAAAACTTGCCCGCACTCACATATGTTGCTTTTGGTGACATAAAGCCCCGTGCAGTGCTGAACTCATGAAACTTCTCCTTGCCAGAACATGCCATGTAAATAACTAGACAGCTGTACATTGCAGTGCTTACACACAGCTGCAACCTGCTGTTAGGAGACAGTAATCCTATGCTGGGAGTACTATAATCAAATGTGGAAGCATAGGAGACAGATATCATGACAACACCGTGAGATCCTGTCATTAAAATGATAATAGACATAAATGTCAACACCTGATGTCAGATCCCACTCAAACAGTACAATTGTATTCACCATGTACACTTCATATGTTTAACCCTCAAACAGCCAAGATGTTTTAGTGACTAAAAGGACCCAGTGTGTTAAAGTTTTGTGTTTATCATGTGCTGTTTCCCTTGTGCAAGACGTATTGCACATATCTGCAACATGGAGTTAAAAAAAAACAAAAAAAACTGTAACACTGTCAGGAGTTTTCCTGTAATGCAACTCAGGTCAGAATAAATGACACTCAGACAGGTTTGCAGGTTTAACGTGCACACGGGTGAGAGCTCAAACGGATTTCCCAGAGGAACCCACCCGAGGGATTAATAAAGTTCTATCTAATCTAATCTAATCTAATCTAGACTCACACTCCGCAGCAGTTACCACCCTTTATTTATACTCAAGCATGTTTGCGTCACAGACACATGAGTGGAAGAGATAACATACAAAGGTAGAGACTTCATCACATGCAGGAAGAGATAACATACAAAGGTAGAGACTTCATCACAGATACATGAGTGGAAAAGATAACATACAACAGTAGAGACTTTATGCTGAGCTTTGCACAGTGTAACTTCTCTAGTAAAAAGAGCAAACACATCTAGAGAACCTCAAATGAAATGTACTTCTATACATAAACATAATAAAATCTTTCAACAAACACTAAATCACATTTATTTAGGAATCCTTGTCTCTTCTTCTTACAAAGCAAATTTTCTTGTTTCAATAATACCACAAAATCATACTTTTTAAATTTCAGGCATGTTTTCAAATATCCTTGCATCATGTTCATCCCAAAATGCAAATGAACTGGTGACTCAGTAACACAGAAGTCAACATAGTCAGGCTGCTTTTTCATCGCCTGTTTCTTCCAATTTAATTTAAAACTTTTTTTTCTTTTTTTTTGTATTTGAGGAATATTTTAAAATACTTTGTGCAGAAAAAAGCTCAGAATACTTATACATTAAAATATCTGAAAATTGGGACTTTAAAAGTGAGGTGCACTATGTGGAATAGTTACAAACAAATATAAATATATTTCAAAAATAGCCCAACTCCATGCATGTGTTTGGACTGTGGGATGAAGCCAGAGAACCCAGGTAGACACTAGGAGAGCATGTAGACTTCACAACCCAAGACCTCCTTCACCATAAGTCACAGACTTTGGTCTATTGTAAATGACGACTCATCCACCTGCATTGTTTTATAGTCCCAACGACTGCAGAAAACAACAGCCAACCACTGACCACATTTTGGGACCTATGAATAAAACTGCCCTCTACTGGTTACTAAGGGTAACTGTACTTGCAACCCTCTGGTCTAGCCTTAACTTTAATGGTAATAAAGTAGTAATATTAATCATTGTGACCACCAGGGGGCAGAAATCCATACAAGACAAAATTACAAACACAAAATCACGTTTTTCACTAACTCCTCACAGATTCACTCATTACAACTGTTTCCCTTTCATTCGCATACATATATTCTAGATTAGAATAAAGAAAAAAATAAACATTTTAATAAAGTATGCTTTCAGTTTTATCTATTGTTTCAAGGGCCTTTGTACCACATTGTAGGTTCAACATCTACAATCGAAACTGTTTCTGAAGTGCTATTATACTCTGGTACAGTAGGTGGCGACATACGCCTTTAAATAGCTTCACAGTCCGCCACTGAAGCCAAAGAAGAAAAGAAGACGAAGATTACCGCGGTAGCAGAAGCAGAGAGTAGAAGCAGAGAGTAGAGGCACGCTTTGTTTTCTGGTGGAAATGGTAAGATCATATTATGAATGTTGCTCAGGTTAAGGTTTGTTTTGTGTTGTTATCTGTGGCAGTTTCAGGTGAAGCGGTCCGACTGACGGCACATCTGTAGGTGGAAACAGTTGCGACCTTTTGCTCGGACATTACATTTTTAAGGTCTCTTCTAAGTATTGTGAGCAAAGGCACCTTTGAACATATCTGAAGTAACTTGAGCTGGTTGCGATGCTGTTGTTGGTTCACATGTTTACTAGCAGTGGAAGTAACCCGACCATCGTGGGCCTGTCTCCACGTGGTCAGCCTTTAGCATGGTAGCTCACAGTGTGTTGCCATGTGAGGAGTAATTGGAGTATGATCAGGCAGTAAGACTTGAATTAATTTTGGGTTGTAGTGATTAGTAACTTAATAATACTGCATGATCGCTTTTATTTCAAGCGGTATGAGGATGTGCTTCCCCCCCCCCCTCCCCTGATGACTTGCACTGGGCTCTGAGTCTGGATGAAGACAGCTGTGCATCTTTGGCCCTGACAAGCCAGAGTTTCTGAGGAGAAAGTAAACCTAGTGTTACACGTGCTGAGCTTCTTTACACTTCACTGACTTTGTTTTTTCTTATTTGTTAATGTTTTCAGGACTTTGAGTGAAACCGCTCAGCTGCAGCGGAGCCCTAAAGGTAAGGAGTATTTGGAGTTTTCAGCACTCATTCTTTAGTTAGGATGTGTAATCTTATGAGTCCTTGCAAAATTAAGAGACAGATGCAGTTTCAGTCTGTGTCCACTTGAGAACATTAAAGACTTCCTGAGGACTATGATGGTGGGGTGAGCATCCATCTGTTTATTCATTTTCAAATACTTGTCTGGAGCATGTGGGCAGCAGTCTAAACAGAAAGGCCCATCTCTACCCAGCTCCTCCAGGTCTTTTGGGGCTGTTCACATGCCAGCTAAGAGATCTCTAGTGGGTCCTGGGTCTGCTCCAGGGCCAGCTCCTTGTTGGACATGTCTATGGAAATTCTAATGTTAATCTGTGCCAGAGTAAATAAAAGCGCACTTAGAAAAATATTTTATTACAATCCTTCGAAGGAAAGCCAAACCCTGTTAGGGTTCACAACAATCATTTGTATTCAGGGAAAAAAAAAAGATAAAACAGGATCTGTTTTATTGTGACTGATCAGTTATTAACCAATAGGAGTGCAGCGTTCCTCAGTTTTTCAGGTGGATCCTCCTTACGTTCTTGGTGGCTGCTCTGTGTTTTATATGCTGTCTATGATTTGTAGCTGTCCTTCTCCCCTGATGACTTGCACTGGGCTCTGAGTCTGGATGGAGACAGTCGTGCATCTTTGGCCCTGACAAGCCAGAGTTTCTGAGGAGAAAATCAGAAACTCTGCTGTAAAAGTAATGGCTGTGACCAAAAAAAAACCCCTAACTCTTTATTTTTGTCCTTTCAGTTCTGAAAAGGTGGAAATCCTCCGAGGATGGACATTAATCAGGTTCGTGTCATGTAACACTGCTTTTTCATATCTAAAGTCTCATTTCTAGTGATGCTTTGCACTGGGCTCAGAAATCAGTGGTGACAGAAGTGCAGCTCTGCCCTTGACAAGGCGGAGTCTGAGGAGATGAGCAAGCAAAAAAATTAAAATTGTAGGTCTTCACTGACTGAACTGTTTGCCTGACTGCTGTTTTGTTACTTTTTCAGGTACTGATACTCCAGAAGAGAACTTCCTCATAACAATTCTGTGATTATTTTCTTATTTGTTGTGATGTTTTAATTGTAATATCTCATATTTGCTCTGATTCATCAAATAAAATCATACATCTTATGTTTGTGTTTGGTCTCTCTTCTACAAATATCAGCTGAAGATGTGGTGACTTTGTGTTGGATAGCAAAAGTCTTGAACAAGGGGGTTTGAGTGAGTCATCACAGGTAACACACCTGTGATTACTCAGTTTGTGGTGTCATGCTCTCATGCTCACGTGCTCGTAACAGCAGGCATGTATCCAGGATTTAAAATGGAGTGGTGTCTTTGAGTGGATCCTGGTTTAAAAATCGAGCAGTTAAAATACCCTGACATGTGCATGCATTGAGAGACGTGGCTACACTGAAGCACCATGGGGATTCTATTGAAGCACATGACATAGATGGGTGGCTCTGCTAGGAGGCCTAGGGGTAACACTGTTCACCTCTGGTACTCTATTAAGGCTTTTTTCTTCTGTCACTCACCACAGCACTACATGTCTGATTTGGCATACTTTATTCTATTTACATCAGGTAACTTTTCTGACGCAGCTGAGGAATTTATCTTTATCTTCAGCGATCTTTTGTTTGTTAGGCCAGCATGTAAACCACTGATTCACTGTGTGTGTGGTATAGTATTACTGTTATGTATTTTGATTGATCTAGTAAGGTCAGCGCTGCTTCCCAGGAAAAAAAAGATGATTATAAAACAGTCAGGAAAATACCTTAGGCCGGCCTTAAAGAACAGAACAGCACCACTGCTCCTTTGGACATTCAGTAGCTAACATAAGAGGACAAACAGGCCAAGAAAACTTTCACTTGTACCTTACGATTTTCTTTTACCTCATTAAGGGTATAATGTGATTAGTTTGTGTTTTGTTTTTTGTTTTTTTGCTGCTGCTGCTGCAAGAATTACTTTGTTATGGCTGTATTTGCAGATTAGAAGTGGATAACTTATTTTATTTCTGTTATAAGATAGTGACTTGTTGTTACACTCAGTATTGATTTAACAAATTAAAAAATCGGAGGCACCAATTTGATGATCTCGAGAAAATATCACATATTAATTTGGACTGATATCTATCTGGGGATCGAGTCACTTAAAAGAAATGATTCTAAGGCCCTTTAATATTACATTTTTGCTCTGTTATTCACCTGTGTGTAGACTTTTTGTCTACACCCAGCATATATTCTGCACTGTGGGATTATAAAGTAACCCTTTCATCCCTAAAGTTGCTTAATGTGCTAAAATATTGTTATGCCATGTTTTTTCTTTAATGGCACAGTATCAGGCTGTTGCCAGATTAGCATGAAGTCTTCAACAATTTCTTCAGATGATGATAAATTTGTGACCTAAAAAGTGAGTTGGGTAGATGGAAAGATGATGAAAGAAATCATTCAAGAAATTACAAACCATTAATTAGAACTTTGTTTCTGTATCTTTATTATAATTCTAACAATTTATCTCTTAAAACATTTGAAATTCATATATGTTTTATATGAATGTGTGTATATGCATATCACATATACATATATATTCTGTAAGTTACTTTTCAGCAGTTCATATTCTCATTTTTTTTAAAAGATCTCTTAAAGGAAAAGAAGTGCTTTCTATAGAGTCAGACCGATTCCCTCCGATATTCACTTCTCCAATGTGACTACAAAATGCAAAGAAAGGCTTAAAAAACAAAAAACAGCATCTCACCAGTCACTTAACAAGATCGTTGTATGAGCAAGATGTTTTTTAAATCTTATCCAGAGTTCTTAATTGGCCCTATGTACACTAGCAGACTTTGAGACATGTAGAGTCACACTCGACTTGTTCACCCCTTCAAAACCTCCGAAAGGGAAATGTGAAAAAGCTGCTAGTGGAAACGGGGCCGTTGCATATTATGCTGGTAATAAAACAATGAGCTATGAGCATACTAGCACATGTTAGCGACTGCAGAGGGTGCTCTGTACATACGGGAAGATGCAAACGATGGGTGAATACGGAGCAGAGCTCCTAATCCCATCAGATTATCAACAGTGGGAGGAGGGGGTGGTTGCAGAGAACAGGTCGAACTGTATAGAAAGCAGAAGAGTTAAATAAATACAATTTACCTTTTCATGTTAAACATTATTTGGAAGACAGAGATTCTTTAGAACTTTTGAGATATTTTTTTCTTTTTTACATCTTAAACCATAGTTAGACCATTATTTTCATCGTCCTTATTGCTATTTCCCTTGAATTCAAATATAGTTTTTCCTTAGCCATCTGCAAAGAGCAAATACAAAAACTGTCCCCCCTTAGTTACCTTTGCTAAATCGCATATATAGTCTGTATGGATGCATTCATGCATGTGCACTTTTAAGCAAGGTGACTATGAAAATTCTTAAATCTTTTGGCAAAAATAGACTGACGATAGCAGAAAAAATGCACATTTGATATGTGTTCATGGACTCAAAAGCAGCAGGAGAGGTGAAGCGTTGTTCAAGGTAGAGAGGTCATGACAGAGCCCTTATATTTAATCTCAGCAATAGTAAGACAAGCAGGACTTGGGGATGGGATGAGATGTAAATGTGCCACAAAAGCTGATGTTGGGGGGATCACACCGGGTCACAGGAGAAGAGTTAAACTTGGGTCTCAAATCAATCGCCAGGGAGTGAGATATATATATATATATATATATTAGAATGTTATAGAGAATTTAAAAAATATTATTTTGTATTATTCTAAATCATTTTCACTCAGAGCAACAGCTGCTACATTTTTACAGCATATTAAGTGGTGAATAACTTTTAAAAGCGTGAGAAAAATATATTTTGAGGCCTTAAAGGTTAAAAGGTGATTTTGATTAAAGCTTCACAGTCTCACAACAAGAGAAACAATAAGGAGAAAGGGGGGAAAACATAATATTCTTAAATGTGCTTCACATTTAATTGCAGTGCTTCTTGCCACATAGAAGCTTTGTTAAGGGTACATTATGCATCTTTCAGTTCAAAAATACCTACATGTACATATATATATTTATATATCTATATAACCACAACAATTATCTTCACTTCACAGTCAGAGAAATAAGCTGACTGCACGAAAGCGCCACCTTAGCCACCAAAGGCAGAAACCAGGACTCTCTGAAGATCCAATAACAGTAAGGACGATGATAGTAATGATAGATAGTAACAATAAATCTCTTCATATCAATATCAGTATTCCAGTATTCCCATTTAAAGTTTAAAAAGTGTAAGAACAATCATAGTATTAAAACTCGATATAAGCGTTTTTCTCTGGGATCCCCTCGGCCGGGTTTTTCCTCCTGGGTTTCGTCGACAGACGGAGAGAGGCCACTCCTGGAAGGAGCCGGGGGGATTAAGTGGGAAAGAACAAGAAAATGGCAGTTTTTACTCCTTCCCTCCCCTCTCCTTTCCAGTCTGCCTCGCACAGAAGGCCTGAATGAGAGTACAACACTTGCCTTGATGCTGAGAAAGTCTTTCTCCGTAAATAAAATCGGTCTCTTTGCGTCGTCGCAAATCCCAATGAAAGCACAGTCTGTCTCCGTTTTGTACATCTCGGATCCAAACGTAGCGTGTGTGTCTATATATAAGGTGTCCCATAAATTCTAACACAAACACTGGGAAGTGCTTGTGTTTGTGTTTACATGTTGGTGTATGCATGCAGGCATGGATAGAGTAACTCGGGTGCCTGTGTGTGCATATCTGTGTGTTCATTTACTTTTATGTTGTTGGTCTGGGCACTTATTTTTGCTACAAATTTGTGATACAGTGACCAGTCTGTATATACGTCATTATAAGACTTAAGATAATAAAGAGCTATAGAGAAACACACACATACACGCGTGATCCCGATCACAGGATCTGCAGTGAGGACAGAGCCCTACCAGTGGTGAGGTAAAAACAAGACGCAACCAAACACGCAGCTTATCCACACGCAGCTTATCCACCGGCGACCTCGCCTCGTTTTAAAGAGACGCGGAGGCCGTCGCGATAACCTGCCCTACGTTCACCATTCACACAGATAAAGCCTCACTCTGGCACACATTCATCCTCATTCACCCTCAAGTACTCACTCCTCTGGGATATTTATTATGAAGTCAGCATCCGCTCTTTAATCGTAAACTTTAAACCAGCCAGCTGAGGGGGTAAGAGCACTACTCAACAAGATGACCACGTGACACCTGTTCATTTCTTCAGCCTGCCTCTTTTCCAGTCTAACTGGCTTATTTTTGTTCCTCTCAAGTATTTGTAATCTCTGCTGCAGCCACAGACATTTTGGATGAGAGGGCGTTTGCGTTAATTGTGTTGATTGGTGTGACCGTGCGTGCGCGTGGGGAGTGTATTTGTGTAAATCAGCCTGCCACATGTGAGCAGCGCCAGCCGGTGTCTTTATGGATCGCCAGCCCTTCCTCCATCCCTGTGTTTCCACCTCCCCTTGGGCCTCGACTTCCTCTTTCTGATGCTCTCTGTGTGAAATCTGGCCCCCCTTCATTTGTTGTGTGAATCCACCATGGATAGCAGCAGCAGTTGTGTCTTCCTCCCTCATTGGCTTCAACCCCTCCTTCTGTGCCTCTCTCTCCATCTCTGTATTTGCAGCCTCAGCTCCGACTCCCGTCGTCCCTCCTCCTGTCCGTCTGTCCATCCCGAGGTGAGAGAACAGAAATGGGAAAGGGGCTGCTGGACAGCCTGCGGACAAAAGAAAAAACGCAGGACACGCGTGATGTTTCCAGCTTTCTGTGTTTGTTCGTCCGTGGTGTGGTTGTGTGTAGTTCTACCCTCTGACCCACGTTTGTAAAATGGAGAGAATAAATTGGTAAATCTGCTGTGACTCATGCAAATGGACAAGCAGTGTGACTAAGAAAACCGGGAAAACATTGGCCATCGCACTTGATGCCTGAGCAGTTGGGTGTATCTAAGTTCACCCTGTTCTTCCTGTAACACTGTAGTTAATGTTGCTCCAGGATCGTCACTGCAGCTGACCGATCATGGTGCTCGGAAGTCACAGCTTTGTGACACAAGTTAGGAAAAGTTTGACTTTAAAGTTTTCTGGAAGTCAGGTGAGGTGATAAGACCAGCAAGATGGCAGAA